AGTTTTAGATGTCATGTCATAATAACTTCTCATCAGGAGAAGGAAATACAATTTAGAAGCGTTCTTGTCTATCAGATAGGCATTATTCCTGTTTTGGAGTGATACACCCCTAATAGTCACTACAGCTAAAGTAACTGGAAACAAGAAAAGATGAGACAGTGAATGTCTACCCTAATACAATAGAATAGTCCTGAAGGTAGAATAACCAACCGAGACTTTCTACTTACGTCAAGAAAACACAATATACATTACATAACTTCTAAGAAAGGGGAAAATAACTATCAAACCATGATAAAAAAAAAGGTCAGAATTATCTTCTTCTGTGGTAACCTTTGTTAGATTACTTGTATACAACTTATAGAATTCCCACACAAAGATATTAATGAAGATTCTGAAGACATACCTGTGTTACATCCTGATGACATTGGTCTTCTGAAACCATATAATATTGTCGGTGGTGTTCTATTAAGATAACAAAAATAATTATTATATTTCAATGCTTATTTGATTTGAATGTAGTTACAACACATGTACCTGCTAATTTTTCCCAGCGTAATTGTTTACTCGACATGCGATGTGATGAAGTAACCGGATGACCAAATGTTGTTGCCTCGCAGTCACAAAAACGTTGGCCAACTAACTTTTGAGCTACGAAGTACATGTATAATTATTTACGAATATATTAATGTATACACTCATCAGTTACCAAGTAATTTCAAACACAGATGATGTGGCTGTTTGCGACAAATTAATTAGTTGTCATTAAATTACGCGTAGGTGGCCATTTTGGATTATTTGTAATTATCGTAGGCGTGGAATGAAATAACGAAAATAAAAACTATGCAATTAGAGCAGTGGGAAATAACAAATATCTCAAATAAAGGATTATTTCAACTTTGCAGTGTATCCATTACATTTCTAGTTTGTTTACACAAATATAATTTTGAAATAATGAAACTTAGTTGAATGGACGGCAACTGCCTGTTGTAGAAACAGAAATGTAGAGGACGACGTTTCGGAACGTCTTCAGTCAATCTATCAAAGAATAATTTTGAAACTTTGCATAAACATTAAAATGTTAATAAAATTGGCATTGGCAATTGGGAAACGTGGCATGGATCTGGAAAGTTAAAAAAAATGAAATTTTACGTAAAACTCTATATAATCTGTATTAGAGAAGAACCACATTCTACTATCTAAGAGTTTAGGAACCAACTGAATAATAAGATCAACTTAAGAGTTGCAGAAACAGGTAGTCAACTGACTTTCTGAGTGACACAAAATTCTTCGACATATATTTATTTTGCATTGGACAAATGATGACTGAAAACACTAGTGATGGCTCAACACATTTTAAACCAACTCTTTCATATTAAACAACATATAGTCCTAACTTAAACTATTTTACAATACAATGGCATATTCACTATGATTTTAAAACTTGCATACAAATACAGCACACAAAACAACACCAATATTTTAAATACTCGGTGATATCAAACTCTTTAATGTTATATACCCGGATAATCCACAACAATGTCATCATAGTTGGAACATCAAAGGGACTATTAGTGGTGTATCACTCCAAAACAGGAATAATGCCTATCTGATAGACAAGAACGCTTCTAAATTGTGACTATTAGGGGTGTATCACTCCAAAACATGAATAATGCCTATCTGATAGACAAGAACGCTTCGAAATTGTAAAAGGAACCTGTTGTTGTTTTTGTCAGTTCTAATTCTTCTTGGGTTCGACTTTATTGATTGAGTTCA